AAAGCCATCTCTTTTTCCAAGATGTAAATATTTTGATTATCAGCTTGTGTGGGAATTGATTTGGACAACTTCACCCTAGTCCAACCTCGTCTCCCAAAACTGCTGTATTAGCACAGCATAATATCTGCAAGTCCTTCCTCATGTGCTCACAGCCACATTTACCTTACGTTAGCACAACCTGAGCATGCCTTTTAATATGCAGAAGAAAGTAGAGCTACCTAGCCTGAAAAAAAAATGGGTTTAATGCTTTTGGAATGCCAGTTGTTTACTGCTGTAAAATAATTATAGGAATAAAGCCAGCAACTGAAATCCTGTTGCACAGCTCCATGGACACAATGTGAAGCTGCAGAACCCGATTCAGGAAGTCTCAGCACAGCAGAAATGGTATTCACAAAGCACTTCCATACGCATGCAATGGTAACGATGAGACCCATGTGACTTACTGCGCAATCAGATTGCATAATCCTTGTTGTCTGGACCCAATGCCTGGCAAATTTACACAGGCAATGCTTAGAGCTTACGTTACACAAAGATAAACAGAATTTCAGCCAGTTAGGTTTGGTTGATTCCATACTGCAGAAATTGGTTCAAGATTTCTATTACCAAAAGTAACATTTGTAGTCCAACCAAAGTTGAGCACTTGTTGGAATTGTGTGAAATAATTTGAAGTACTCAACATTATTTGAACTATAGCCATTCCTACAGATGATGGAAACTGTATTGATATAGAGCCGACTTATTTATCAGTGTCTGTCAATCCTATTTTAGGCAGTCTTTCAGTATATAGCTATCGGCCGTTACATTAGTTAAAGATAGAATGCAAATAGAACTAAATACCTGCAAAATAATGTTTTAAAAAAGAATAGCAGAAGAAGACTATTGATAAACATCCATGATGAAACCTCTTGGAGAGGGGAGTTAAAAGACTAGGGAAATAAAAAAGTATTTGCATTATCTGAAAAGAAATTAAGTCTGTAATCATATGTCCAATAACCTGAGATCAAGTCCTATAATTTACTTCTGAGTAAACATACAGACAGAGGAACTAGAGACCAAATTGCTAACATGCGCTGGATTATGGATAAAGCCAGAGAGTTCCAGAAACTTCTGCTTCATTGACTATGCAAAAGCCTTTACCTGTGTGGACCACAGCAAAATAAGGCAAGCCCTTAAAGAAATGGGAGTGCCTGACCACCTTATCTATCTCCTGAGAAATCTATATGTGGGACAGGAAGCAACAGTTAGAACCAGATATGGAAAAACTGATTGGTTCAAAATGGGGAAAGGAGTACGACAAGATTGTATATTGTCTCCCTGCTTATTTAACTTACATACAGAATACATCATGCAAAAGGCAGGACTGGATGAATCCCAAGCCGGAATTAAGATTGCCGGAAGAAATATCAACAACCTCCGATATGCAAATGACACCACACTGATGGCAGAAAGTGAGGAGGAATTAAAGAACAAATGAAAAAGGAGAGCGCAAAAATGGTCTGAAGCTCAACATCCAAAAAACTAAGATCATGGCCACTTCCTGGCAAATAGACTAGCACATCAAAGGGGAAGATATGGAGGCAATGACAGTTTTTACTTTGGGCTCCATGATCACTGCAGATGGTGACAGCAGCA